CGCCCTCCCCCCCGCCCTCGTCGGGCCCCACACCCGGCAGGACATGTCGTAGGAGACGGAGCCCAGGACTCCCTCCTGGTGGGGCGAGGTCTTGAGCCTCCGCACCGCGTACCCGTGGCCGTGCAAGAAGCCGAGGGGCAGGGACGGGCGCCTTAAATCCCATATTTTGATGGATCGATCCACCCCCCCGGTGTAAACGAGGAAGTCCTGGTACTTGTCCCAGTCCGCACTCAGGACCTCGCCCTCGTGCGCTCGCACGACCTGCACCGCCCCTCCCTCCGCCCGACCCAGGCCCAAGGAGGTGGCGTGGGAGGGAGGTAGCTTTGTATCCCAGATACGCAGGCTCCCGTCGGTGCCACAAGACAGGAAACGGTGCGGATGCCGGGGAGAGTGGATTCCCGCATAGACACACCCGGTGTGTCCGCAATAGGTGGAGAGAGACGTGGGGTGGTGCGGGTCCCAGAGTTTGATGCTGCCGTCCCAGGAGGCAGAGAGGAAGTTGGTTTTAACGACCTGGTTCCAGTGGACGGAGGAGACTTCCGCCGAGTGTTCCTGCCTGCGGGAGGAAGGGAGCGAGGTGGGGGGGGAGAGGAGAGGAAGAGGACAGTCGTCAGTCTGTACCGTGGACTCCAATGAAAGTAAAAATGGGAAACCAACTTAGATGATGAAGGAATGAGGCAGGAAAGGGTGCAGGGACGGAAAGAGCAGGGGTGGAAGAGAGAAGATGCGTCGCCCTCACCAGTGAGCGACTGGATAGCCATCCGAAGTCATCACGTCCCACAGCTTCAAGCTTCCATCGGCCGAGGCGGAGACAAGTTGATTTTGATTCGCCTCGCTCCAACAGCAGTCGTACAAGCCTTCCTGCGTTAAAAAGCTACGAATTTCCCTTAAATTTCCGTCTGGGCCTATCTACTCCAGGAACAAAGGGGAAATAAGACGAGTAAAAGAGACAATAAAATGATCGACCCGCACCAACTCAAAATACCCTGCACGTCTGCATGATAATATGTTAGAAAGTATACCTCTAAGATGTGTTGTCGGCCATTCCCGATTATGCCGAAATATTGAGCAGTAGCCACAGCTAAGCGGGCTTCCTGAAAGGGACTGAATTCCACCTGATTAACAAAGATTGAGGATGACAGAGCGTGCGTTTAAGCCCAACTGACACACGATCACACAAAGAGGTAGAGGCACATGACACGAGTGGGGCATGGGACCTGCGCAGGACCACGCTATTATGAAATCGGCAGTCGGCTTAATAACTTACCGAACAGCATTGAAACTGTGTTTGGAAAACCGCATCGGGTATGGGACCTCCCAACCCACCACCCCCAGTGTTCGCTGCATGGAAGGATTCTCGCTTCATGGCATGACGCGAATGAACAGTCTGGACTACGTGAGTGTCAACTCGTAGGTTTCAATAGCCTCTGCCGACACCCTTCCCCTGCGTGTTGAAGTTTCAGCGTGACGAACTGCAGCGTTGGTCAGCAAGGCAGAGTTGATAAAACCTGAAGCACGTCGCTAATGCCGCCATTTCAGACCACGATTTGGACGGTGCCTGTGTGATACATGGAAAAATGCGTGATATCAGGTCCATATCGCGGTTGAAAGGGCTAAAGGGCATTTTGAAAGACCCAAACGTCTCGCCTCCCCCTCGCCCCCTCGCTTTCCTGCGCATGGACTCGTGTCCTCCACTGGTGTCTTTTCCCTCATAAATATGACTGCGTAAGGCTTCGTTCTATAAGATAATCGCCTCATACTTTCTCGAAATCAGTCCAGGCCTGCCTCTTGTTAGGCAAGGGCCGCGGGGTTCTTCATGGGGAAAGCCAAAAAGGCGCGCGCCTCGCGTCACGCCCGGCATGACCCCGTAGGATTTCCCTCAGGCCGGACCGCGCGTTCTTCTTCCTGTGCGGATACAGAACAGGAAACAAGACAACATGCGCATCAACATCAAAAAGCACATAAGCTCTTGGAGGAACTCCGGAGTCCTGATTTGGCAAGAAAGGAAGCGGCGGTCGTAGCCATGGCTCAATTGCTTGCTGCAGGAGATGTGGATGGAGATGAGGAGGTGGCGGGCCTAAACGGGAACGAAAGGGCGGACCGAGGGCCAATGAGGGCTTCCAAAGGGAGTGCTCGCTTTCGGGCCCTGATTCACAAACTGGTGGACGGAGGCGCGGTTGATTTATTGATGGAGCGCATGTTTGATACGGCATCCACAGTCAGGCTGCACGGGGCAGGAGCATTACGGTACGTCCACATCAAGAATGAGGTTTTTGGGGAATTGGAATCCCTCATGCCTGAAAGCAAAGGGCGGAAATGGCCTGTGCACGTGAGTCAAGGATGCAACAAGATATTTGCTACTCTTGAAGCGTCTCGTTCGAGTCGCCTTGATGACAACCTATCCACCAAGATCGCTGAGACACGTGCCTCACCCGTCGCATTTCTCCTTTTCGTCTTCCACCTGAGCACCCCTTCTCGTTCCATCCATGCTTTTCACTTATCTCCCTTCGCCCTTGTCCCCCCCCCACCTTTGATCGGGAAGGAATATGGCGTCGCTGCGGGACCGACGCGTCACCTCCCAGATGGTGCAAGCGGGCGTCTTAACCGCCGTGCTCGGGCTCCTCCAAAAGCAGGAAAAAGAAATCATCCGGGATACAGCCATTACGACGCAGGGCCTCGGGGTGCTTGTGGCCGTTTGCGAGGGGAGGGAGGCGGCGAAACAGTGCCTGGTCCGACAGGAGGGTTTGCGGCTGGTTCTGGCGGTGATGAGGACGTACGTGGGCGCGATGGGGACGAAGGGGGAGGGCACAAGACACCGAGAGGGGATGCAAGCGGGAACAGGGGAAGCAGGAAGCATGGTCATCCAGCAGTGTGGACACGCCGAGAGGGTGGGGGAGGAAGGAAGGCTGTCGGTGGGGGCGGGGCCCGCGCAGGGGGAGACGCGCCCCCAACAGGGCCTCGATGAAAGCCGGGAGGTGGTAGATGAAGCGGTGGGCCTATGCGCCCACCTCTTGTTCGTAGCCACGCGAGAGAATTTCCCCGTGGTCGAGCGCCTATGTTCGATTCCCACCGCCCTCCCCTTCCTTCTTTCCCTCCTCTCCGCCCCGCCCTCCGAACCGTCCTCCTCCTCCCTCCTCCTCCCATGTACCACCCGTCTCCATCTCGCCGGCTGCCTGGCCCATGTCTACCTCACCCTCCTCCCCGCCCAGTTCTCAGACGCGCGAGCCCGCCCGTTTCCTTCCCTTCCCCGACCCGACTTGCTCTTGCACGTCGTGATGGAGCGCGGCGTGCAAGCGGGGCTGTGCGTCGAGAAAGCGGCCTTGGTGGGTGTGATGACGGCGACAGAAAGGGTACGGGATGCAAAAGCGGCGTTGGAGGGAGAAGGGAAGCGGGAGGAGGCGGAGGGAGCTCCCTCCTCCAGG